TTAGATCCAAGCATCTTGGAAGTGATATTATTCCGCAAATAACATTCCTGACTAACACTGATTGGAAAATTCTTAGGAATTACGCTCAGGAAACTGAGTTTCTGAACATTGAAAAATAATACATTCAGCGAATTTTTTCATGAAAAGGAGCGCACAACAGGCCCGATAGTGGCCTAGGTGTATTTCTTCGGATTTGATGTAGTATACATGCTCCGGTCAATCTAAACTAAACGGTTAGTCCGATTTGAATTAAATTTCACATGCCTCGGAAAGAAGTGTTATTTTGTAGATATTTGGGACGTCCAAAAGGTCCCAATCCCGCTAGGTGACCCGGTATGGAAAAACTGAAAATGATCCCATTTTAATCCAATTTTGCAGATTTCTTTCTACTATAAAAACATTGTCATAGCGATATTTTCTGATTTTTCTAGATTTAGAAATTAGAATTGGAACAAACTTCCTGCAGAAGTATTCCCCGCCACTTTCAAAGTAAAAGGGTTTTAATCAAATGACTACAAACACTTCCCTCCCATCATTTATTTTACTATCCCACACCGATAAATTAGTATGTGACCAAGTTTATATCTTTTTTTTAGTCATAAAAACTTAAGAATTTTCGACAAAATATTGAACAAATTGTCTCTGTGGATTCATTAGCTTATCGATAATTAAATTTTGAAATAGTGTCACTAGTTCCCTTAATGAACCTCGTGCATTTATTCTAAAACATAGACTCAAACTAATTTAAACTCCTTTTATTTTCCAGAAAAAAATCCTACAGATCATTGTGTGGTTGAAATTAACAATATAACTGTGTACAAAAGTATAGGATCAATATGGGTTTCTCCAAACGATGCCTGTGCTTTGCATTCCTGTGATTTGAATAAACAAGGAGAACCACAAGAAGTGATACGGAAAGATAATTGTGGAGATTTCTATTGTGATATAGTAAGTATCCATTTCTTTATTAACAGAATGAAATTTTGGAAACTAATCCAAACAAAGAACTGGATCTTTGATAAAGTTTCCGTTTTCTAAAACTTGTGAATTTAAAAAGGATAATAACGATAGTACTCCTAAAAATCCAAAGGTACAAATTCGGCTTTTGGCAAGAATTTTCTCATATTCCCTAAACGAATATTCAGATACTTTAAAATAATCCAATATATCTACCACAAACTAATTCCCCTAATCTCTTCTAGGATTCGGAAGTTCGCCCCAAAGAGGGTTCCTGTTGTGGCGAATGTGTGCGAACAAAATGTCGTTTTAAAGATCAAGTCTACAATGTGGGACAAACTTGGCACAATGCAGATGACTGTACTTTAAATGAATGTTCTCTCTTGCCAAATGGTCAGCCCATGATAAATACATATAAAAAATCCTGTCCACCTTTACCCAAAAACTGTCCAAATGATTTAATTTATACAGAAACTTGTTGTCAATATTGCAATTCATCTAGTGTAGCAAGAAATCTATATCGTAATGATGATCTGAATATAGAAACAGATGATATATGGACCGAGGAGTTTTATACAAATCATCCCTGCAATAGAGATTGTCAAGCAAATGGAGAGCCCAAACGTTGTTTCTATACCTTTGTGGTGGAATGGTATGAGACATTGTCGAAGGCTTGTTATGAATGTCCCAATAATATAACGGATTGTCAAAGACCTCATTGTATAACTGGAGATGGCATAACACGCTCCATAACGGTAGTTAATCGTATGATGCCTGGTCCCACTATAGAAGTTTGTCAAAACGATGTTATAGTGGTAGATGTTAAAAATCATTTATTGGGTGAGAGTACCACCATACATTGGCATGGAATGCATATGAAAGAGAATCCTTATATGGATGGTGTGCCGCATATTACACAGTGTCCCATTTCACCACACTCCACTTTTCGTTACACCTTTAAGGCGGAAAATTCCGGCACACATTTTTGGCATTCCCACACGGGCATGCAGAGAGGTGATGGTGTATTTGGAGCTTTAATCGTTAAGAAACCTAAATTAGAAGAACCTCATGGACATTTGTATGATTTTGATTTGACCGAACATAAAATGATCGTACAAGATTGGGTACATGTTCCCGGCATTAGTATGTTTGCTTCTCATCATCATTCGAATGGTGATAATAAACCTTTAAATTTACTGATTAATGGTAAAGGACGCTACTATAAAGCCATTTGGGAAAAAATTAAAAAAGAAGAGAAACAACAAGCCAGATCAAATGTACCAAATGAAGAATCTAAGTCCACAACAAACCAACCTAAAATAATGACTAGTACTACTAGTACAACAACTACCTCAGAACGTACTCCCTATACTGGTTTAGTTTATACTGAAAAATCTTCTTCTGCTTATCCAAATGATGAAGCTACTCCAGCTACTACGGAGGAAGAAGATGATGTTGTATTTTTACATCCTTTAGATGATACTACTTTAAGCAATATGCGTATACAACAAAATGAGATTTCAAGATTGGCCAGACTTGCTCAATTGGATCAGTATCGAAGTAGTACAGAAAGCATAAAGGAAACTACTACTGATAACAAGGAAACAGAAGAAAGTTTATTAAAATCTGACGAAAATCCAGCCGATTCTATTAGTTTAGAGAGAACCAAACGTGCTATAGATGGGGAAATTCCTTTACATTTTATACCACTACAGACTTATAATGTCAAACGTGGATTCCGTTATCGTTTTCGATTAATCAATGCAGAGTTCCTTAACTGTCCGATCAAGATTTCTATAGATAATCATACCTTAACTGCCTTCAATTCCGATGGTTTCGATTTTGAGGCGGTTGATGTTGGCTCTATTGTTACCTATGCCGGGGAACGTTTTGACTTTGTGGTTAATGCCGATCAACCTGTTGGAAACTATTGGATACGTTTAAAAGGTTTAATGGATTGTGATGAAAGATTTACTTCTGCCTTCCAAGTAGCCATATTGCATTATGATGGTGCTCCAAATGAAGAACCCAAAGAAGATTTAGGTTATCATCATGAGCCTAAAGGTATTGAATTAAATGCCATGAATCAGGGACCTGGACATGTCGACTCTCTAACTATAGCCGAAATAAATGCTTTGCCTATTTATGACAAAGTCCCTGGCATTGATCGGGATGCTTTAAAACCAGTTGCTGATTATAAATTCTTTGTTTATTATGATTTCTATCGTAAAGATCATCCTGAATTTCATCCTAGTGAATATTATGGCATGGATGCCAACATGTCAAATACAAGTAGAGTTTTTACACCACAACTTAATCACATATCCCTGAAATTCCCCTCTGTGGCTTTATTGCCAGCACGTAATGAAGTGGATGATTCCATGTTCTGCAATGAAACGAGTTTAGAGCAAAAGGGCATAGACTGCCGTAAGGAGTTTTGTAAATGTCATCATGTATTACAAGTGCCACTAAATTCAATAGTGGAGTTGATTGTCATAGACGAAGGTTTTACATACGATGCCAATCATCCTTTCCATTTGCATGGTAATGCTTTTCGTGTGGTAGGCTTAGAGAGATTGGGTGCTAATGTTACAGTGGAAATGGTAAGTCTTTCAACATTTTCTCTTAATAGTTTAAGAGTAATTTAATAATAATTTCTCTATATTTCAGATTAAACAACTTGATCGCTATAATCTGCTCAAACGTAATCTAGTCAGACCTCCAGTCAAGGATACGGTTACCATACCCGATGGTGGTTATACCATAATACGTTTCGAAGCTCATAACCCTGGTTTTTGGCTATTCCATTGTCACATAGAATTTCATGCAGAAATAGGTATGGCCTTGGTACTTAAAGTTGGTGACAATGATGAAATGGTACCAGTTCCTAAAAATTTTCCCACTTGCCATGACTATATGCCTGATGATGATAATGATGAGAATAATAATAATGGTGGACAAAACTCAAATAATAATTCTACATCTTCTCCTTTAGGAGATGGTAATAATTCAGCCGCAAGAGACTATTATAACCACAGCTTAATGGTCGGTGGTGTAGTGTCATTGTTAAACTTATTAAGATCATTTTAAGCTGAATGAGGAAAAAAGAGTCTAATTTGTTTATATTATCGTTTATTGTTAAAGAAGAAAACTGTGATTATTCTATAGTGTTAGTTTATATTTTTTAAGTTGTAATTAAGATTAATTTATATGTATTTTAAATAAATAAAGATTTATAATAAAGTGTATTGGAAATAAATTTAACAATAATGACTTTAGACACTCAAAATATGAAATTGAAAAAGGGGATAGATTATTTGCGATCACTCACGTTTTCCTTAAAAAAATATCCATTTTTGATAGAAATCTTGAAAACCTTGATTATTCAAACCACGATTAATCGACAATATGCGTAATAAACAACCCTATTGGTCACCAAGATTGATACCTATTTGCAGATCAATGATCACTTTCATTGTTTCCAAGAGAAAAGATAAATGAAACATCTGAAATCATTCCATCTAGTTTGAATTGTCTTTTTTCCATTTATGATCAAGACCAGTCTATACCTGGTCCAAGATTCCAAATTATGCTAGATGATTAAAAATGCCCATTTCAATTTTCTACATTTCTGGAGAATTGAATTTACTCTGAGAGATTCACCGTTTGTTCTTCATTGAGAGAAAAACTTCCGGGTTCTTATGCATTCGGATTTGGTTAATGTAATCTCGCAGGAACTTGAAATTAAAAATTAGGGCACATACCTCCTTGTCATTACTGTTGTTCGGGATTTCAATAGATTGGAATATGAGGACCAAATACCAACTGGTAGCAACTGATAACCGGACATGGTGGTGCTTACCCTTGAGCAATATTTTACGTCATTCAAGATTGGCGATTTTTAGATTAAGTTAGCTATAACAAACTGCTGATTTTTTCATCTTAAGATTGACAAGCGTCTGAAAAAGATGGTTCTAATACTTTTGCATTATACATACCCCACAATAAGCCCAAATAGAATAAACCAACCGCAGAGATATCAACATAATTTCCAAATTAATTTAACCCCTAATCACAAGAATAATAAAATTAAAGAGCTTATCAAATGGACTTAAATTAGACTAACAATAGAATTCTACAATGACCCTAAGGAGGGGATGACAATAAGTCCAACATAAAATAAAACTCTCGTACACACAGTAATTCATAAAAATAATTTACATATTTAAATACACACAACAACAAAGCCAAAAAACAGACAAAAATACACAAAAAAATCATATAAAAATAAAATAAAAACCTGAAAAGTATAAAATCCATGCCGACTCCAAGTCTGATATCTGGCTGTGAACGACAAATGTTAAACAATATACATTGATGATGAGGCAAAGCGAGCTCCTGCGCCAAAAGAGCACACAAAACAAATTGTATGCGAATTGAATGTGTTTTTGTGAAAGATGAATGGATAGGAAATGAACTGAGGTGGGAGATTGGAGGCTGAATGTGTGAGTGTTAATATTGGCTGTTTCTGGTTGTAAATTTACAAACTAACCAAGTAGAATGTTGTTTACAGGAGGTCACATAATGTACACACACACATACACAGCTGTATTTATTAAAATACTCACATACAATCATATCAAAAATATGTTCGCGCGTCACAAAAACGGATGCGACAATGAAACCATCTTAATAACAATCACAATGACAATCATCATAATAAACATGACAGTATGGTGTCGGAAGTTGAGCTACTTATTGTTAAATCTGTTGGGTATACGGGAAACACAGGCACGCGCTAACACACGCACATATACTTGTATTGAAAAGGATGTTTAAATATAAAGTGCTGCAGTGTGTGTGTGTTGGAAAAATGTCATTTTCAGCAGCAGTTTCAAATTGATAAAAAAACAGAAAGAATTTTAACTTGCGTTTCGTACAATTCTTTATAATTATTATATGTATAAATGTATGTGTTTGTATCCTTTAACTCAAATTTCTCCTGATGTTTTTTATACACAACATCCAAAAGACTAATAATGAATACTAATTAAACGTTGACAATGTGATCTCTCTGTTTTTTATGAATGTATGTGTATAATTTGCTTCTTTTTAATTTTGTTTATCATTTTTATTTATATTTTTTATTTTACTTAATATTGCCACAGCGCCCGATAAACTTTTTCCGAAAACAAAGAAAAGTTCTCGAACAAGACACAGTAAAAGCCGCATATGTTTACTTGCAACATCAACAGCAAAAAAAGGAAAACCAGGGCCTAGTACATAATACCCTACACCGATACAATATAATTTTCGAAATATAATTTGGATAAGGTGATAAAATTGACTTATTTTAACCAGTTTCTTGGGAGAAAAGAAATGTTTGTAGTTTTATAACCTCGCCTATGTTATACACTCGGATGAACGAATGAAATGGATGTAGGCCCTTTACACCTGGTGGTTACAAACAGCACGTTTTACCCAAACTTTTGTAGGGTATGAACAACAAAAAAGAATCAAGAAACAAAAAATCTTATTAATATCGGATGAATACAAAATGAAATAATAATGATGTTGGCATTAAAAATGAGAATATAAATACATGAATGAAATTATCGCATGAATGGTAGACCATTTATAATCCACATAAAAAAGAAATATATATTTATTATATAGTACGACGATAATGAACTTCACACAATTTTTTTTTAATTGAATTGAAATTTATTCATGTCTTCTTTTTGAATAATTAAATATGTTTTATTTAAATACAATTTAAGAGGTGTTGGAATGAGTGAATAAAAAAAAGGAAATAATAAATAAAGAATTAATTTATACATTTTAATTGTAAGGATATTGTTAAAAGTTCAAAATAAAAAAGCAAAAACACATATTCATTTAAGAAAATGTGATCATTATAAAGTTTCGGGAGATGTGTCTCAGATATACTTTAGACATTTTTTGTTGAATAAAATTGTGTACATTTAAGTCATATATCGAAGGGAGCTTTGTATAGGGGCGAGGGTCAAATGAGGCCCTATCATCAAAAAATTCATCAGGGTCATGAAGGCTAGTATAGAACTTGTTTTGCAGCTTTTTGTCGAGTTACGAGTTTATTGAACATAATTATGAACTTAATAGCGCTATTTGGGGAGCTCAGGAGTATGGGGGCTAGGTGAAATAATGGGCCGATCATAACCATTTTCGATAGGCTTGGTCACTGAGACAATAGAAGATCATGTACCAAATTTCATTGAATTATCTTCAAAAATGCGACCTGTAGTTTGGTAACAAGGTTTACGTGACGGACAGAAAGATAGACAGACAGACAGACGGACAGGCAGACATACAGAAAATGATTCTAAGTCGATTGGTATACTTTATACCCACCTTAAAGTATACCAATCGACCAAAGGACCAATATTATTGTGCGTTACAAACATCATAAACCCAATATACCCTCCCCACTAATGTGATGTAGAGTGTAACTAGTTAGTTAGTTAATTAGTTTGAAAGGAAGATGTATATATAAGATCAAATCCGAAGTTGGGTTACTTGACATGAAATTGATCTTATTTATAATAAAGTACGATCGTTCGAGAGTTAAATTAACAACTAATTTCATAAACAAATTTAATCAATCTGTTTATTAATACATTTGTACATAAACATTTTTATTTTAAAATTTAAAACTTTTCCATTATTAACATCACATTATTATACCCTACACCACTTTAGTGGGGAGGGTATATTGGGTTTGTGCTGAAGTTTGTAACGCACAATAATATTGGTCCTATATCCACCTTAAAGTATACCAATCGTCTTAGAATCATTTTCTAAGTCGATTTAGCTATGTCCGTCCGTCCATGTAAATCTTGTAATCAAACTACAGGTCGCAATTTTGAAGATACTTCAATGAAATTTGGTACATGATCTTCTATTGCCCCAGTGACGAAGCCTACAGAAAATGGTTAAGATCGGTCTACTATTTCACCTAGCCCCCATACAACTGAACAACTGAAAAGGGCTTGTAAACCTTTTAATCAAACTACAGGGCGCAATTTTGGAGATAATTCAATGAAATTTGGCACGTGATCTTCTATCGTACCGAAGACAAATCCTATTGAAAATGGATAACATCGGTCCATTATTTCACCTAGCCCCCATACAACTGAACCCGCCGAATAGGCCTTATTATGTTTAATATACTCGTATCTCGACAAAATGCTGTAAAACCAAGTTCTATACTAGCCTTAATGACCCTCATGAATTTTATAATTATAGGGCCTCATTTGACCCTAGCCCCTATAAAAAGCCCCTTCAAAATTGGATAAATTTCCACAATTTTATTTAACAATAAATGGCTTAAGTATATCTGAGGAAAGGTACAATTCAACTTAAATGCTTTATTATGAAAACTAAATCACAACTTATTTTTGTAACAAGTGTAGGGTATTATATGGTCGGCCTCGCTCGACTATAATTTCTTACTTATTTTTTATTACTATGATTTTGAAACTAAAATAGAAATAAAATTTTAATTACTTTTTGTATCACTTTCTTCAACTTTTGCTGTATTACATAATATTTTGAGTCTTTCAAAGCAAGACATTAATTTGGAACATAAATAAAACTTATCGATTGTAACTACATTGCAGCAGCGATATGTATGTATATATAGTTAAAGCTTTTAAATTAAATAATAAAACTTAGTAGGAAAATTAACCGTATGAATATATTATTATTTTAAACTTAATTGAATATATTTTCTATCAATCACAGTATATCAGCTATAAATATACATTTATTGAGCAAATATTTTCACTCAACACTACAATTACAATAAAAGCGTGTATATGTATGTATATCTATAGGCATATATACTTATACATATCATAAAACATTCGATATGAATAGTGAAAAATTTAAACATTTTGAAATTTGCCACATTTGAAGTTAAAACGGAAATAAAATGTCATTTAAAGAAATTACATTAGTGGCGTTTTTAGCGATTTTAGCTTTAACAACAGCAAATCAAACAGCAGAAAAAGGAAAAAATATTTTATGTGGTACTTTAAGAGTAATATTTGCCAATATTTTCCAACCGAAATCTATGAGTGTTAGTATTATAGTCAATATCAGTGATAATGAAGATTTTAGATTTAGCCAAGAAATATTAGATGATGTTATAAGCATCAATAAAAATATCCAAGTACCGGTGACGATTAATCAATATACAGCTTCGAAGTTGTTGCCTTTGATCCAGACAAAGTTAATATTTACCAATTCAGCAGAAAATGTCAGGTAATTTGATTATCTATATAACAATTTGTTAAAATTTTCTAAGACGTTATTTCCCCTTATAGAATACGCATGGAAAATCTATTTAAAAGTAATGAATTTCAAAGTTTATCTACGAAATATTTAATTGTCTTAAATAACCAGGACTCTTTGCCCAAAAAACTCTTTGAAATTCATAAAATTTTTCAAGATTTTTATAATTTTTATATTATTGATGTTGTTATATTATTGCCGGCAGCAGATTCCTTACATATTTATACGTATAAACCTTACAACAGTAAACATTGTGATTGTACCGAACCTATATTGTTGCAACGTTTTGACAGCATTCCCGATATGCTTAACGATCATGATTTATTTCCCATTAAAACTAATAACTTTTATCAATGTCCAATGAAAGTAGTACTCTGGCATATACCACCATTTATGAATTTGTCATATGGAAACAATATGATCAACTTTAAGGGTTTTGATGCTGATATATTAAAAGATTTAGCTGAAATTTTGAATTTTTCTATTAAAATTATACCCAATGAACCGCAAAATTTTATCAGTGGCAATGTATTTCCAAATAGAACCGCAATAGGTGTTTTTAAATTGGTAAGTTAAGAAGATATTTTGTTATTGTGAAAAATTATTTTTATATTTTTTTGTGTTCTTCTTTTTCTTAGCTTTTGGAGCGTAAAGCCAATCTTACTATTGGTTTTATTGGCTGTCTTCCCAGGCGTATGCAATTAACTACTGGATCTAAACCCTATTTTCTTTCAAAAGTTTTAATTATTTTTAAAAATTCTCCAAAATTTACACCACATCAACTGCTTTTAAGGCCCTTCAATAAAACGACTTGGTATTTTCTTCTAACACTTTTAGTTTTGAAGTCCATATTAAAACGTTTATTATGCAGAAATATCAAATTACGACACAGTTTTCGTAAGCTATTGCAACTACAATGGTTATTATTAATTTTTATACTACGCTTATCATATGAAGGATCAATATTTCAAGCTATTCGTAAGTCACCATATCAAGCATTACCCTTAACCATGGATGAAGTGGTAAAGCAGAATTATTCTCTAGTAACGGACTATGCCGCTGCTCGGATATTAAGTGAAATAAGTTATCTTAAAAATATTACAACTATTGTTCCGGGAAATCCTCAAAGTGTTTTAGAAACAATAGATGACTTGCCGCCTAAAACGGGGGTTTTAAGTAGTGATATATTTATAGCACTATTTATGAAAAGAAGACTGAGTAATTATAGTGACTATGCCATCGTTCGAGATAAGGTTTCCAACACTATGAATTGTATATTCTTTCCCCGTTTATCATTTGTAGCACCTGCTGTAAATTCAGTAATCAAGAAATATGGAATATATGGCTTATTTGAAAAATATAGCAAAGAACTGGGTTTTGAGTATTTACCCTTAACTACCGATCAGTTGAGGTACCATTACAATTGGAATTTACAATCACCTTTAGATTTAACTATTCTAAAGGCAGTATTTACATATTTTGCAATAATGAATGTTATATCAGTGTTGGTATTTCTTTTGGAAATTTTAAGTTTACGCTATATAAATTTAAGAAGAATTTTATTAAAATCTTTGGATGTTAAGGATGTTAAAGATTAAAAAATATAAAATATTCCTAGAATGTGTAATATGAAATTTGTAATGTGGTCAGAATGACACATATTTAGGCTTCAAAATAAATGTTAAATTTCTAATATATCTTGTTCTATCTTTAAGATATGTATCATAACCTAAACAAGTAAGGAATTATAGTTGGGCGAATACGACCATATAACACCCTACATGTGATTTAGTTTTCATAATAAAGCATTTAAATTGTACCTTGCCTCAGATTTTGAATAAATTTTTGGACATTTAAGTCAAATTTTGAAGGGTACTTTGTATAGGGGCTATGTTCAATTGATACCCTATAGTTATAAAATTCATGAGGGTCATCAAGGCTAGTATAGAACTTGGTTTTGCAGCTTTTTGTCGAGATGCGATTATATTAAACATAATTATGAACTTAAGAGCCCTATTCAGTTGTATGGGGGATAGGTGAAATAATGGACCGATGTTAACCAGTTCCAATAGGCTTCGTCTTCAAAATTGCGACCTGTAGTTTGATTACAAGGTTTACAAGACCTATTCGGAGGTTCAGTTGTATGGTGGCTAGGTGAAATAATGGACCAATCTTAACCATTTTCAATAAACTTCGTCCCTGTGACAATAAAAGACCAAATTTCATTGAATTAAATAAATTGGCTCAGAAAATTATTCTAAGCCGATATATTTTAAGGTGGGTATAGGACTAATATTATTGTGTGTTACAAACATCAACACAAACCCAATATACCCTCTCCACTAAAGTAGTGTAAGGTATAAAAACTATGTAGTGATAGGACCTAATTTTGTTATACCCTAATATACATATTGGATCCTCATTAGATCCTAACATCTAGCCATGTCCGTTTGTTGAAAATACTATAGAGTCCGAACGAAGTGAGCTACACCGCTATGGTGGTGTTGGGGGGTGTTGTAGAGCAATCGACTCCGAATCACTTCCCGTCCACCGCCTGGTTATCTGTCCTATCGTCAAAACTAAGTTTCATAAAAGTCTAAATGATACTGCTAAATTTTCGTAATGATCGGGCCTCCTTTGACCCTAGCCCCCATTAATAGTCCACTTCAGAAAATTACTTGTATATCAATAACTCACTTATAAACATATAGTATCATAATGAAATTTTGCACAAATAACTTTGATGTAAACGTAGATCCCCCTACCAAAGTTTATAAGGATGGATCCCATATAACCATATATTACAATCAGTTCAACATTACATATAGGAACCATAGAAATGTAAATATTCCCCGAAAATGAATTTATTGTTAATAATTCATTCAAGAATATCGGTATTGCGACAAAATTGTGCACATATAAAACTAATATCAAAAGAAATCGTATTACTAATTGAAACCTTAATTAGTCCATAATTGACCACAGCTCCGACATAATTCATTAACCAATATCTATATTGAAACAATTGGCCTAATCATTTCATAATCTAATAAGGACAACGAATATATATATACTTCTACTTGGTCTACGGTCAATGTTTCCATATGTTACAAACAGAATGACAAAATCAATATACCCTTCATATTTTTTGATAATGGATATAAAAATGGCGAATAAAACAAACTATTTTTGAAAAAATACAAAGTTATGATTATTTTAAACTTAATTAAATATATTTTCTATCAATCACAATCAAACATAACCCCTCATTAACTGTGGCAAATTATTCTCTAAACCCTTCAACTATAAATTGTAAAGGCTAGTAATTATAAATCAAATATCACAAATTTATAAAATATATAAATCAATAAAAAATTCTACAAAATATGAACAAACTATTAAACATTTTAAAATTTGTAACGAACAAAGAGACCACGGAAATATAATGTTATTTAAGAAAATTTTATTAATTAATTTATTAGTGATTTTAACACTATTAACAGCCATTCAAGCTGTAGAAAAAGAAGACAACCTGCTGAGTGCTACTTTAAGAGTAATATTTGCCAATATATTCAAACCGAAATCTATGAGTATCAGTGTTATAGTAAATATAAGTAATCATGAAGATTTTACCTTTAGTCAAGATATATTGGACGATTTAATGAGTATCAATAAAAATATTCAATTACCAGTGACAATAAATCAATATACAGCTTCAAAGTTATTGCATTTTATACAGGCAAAATTAATATTTACCAATTCAGCAGAAAATGTCAGGTAATTTCTATATCTATAGAAATTTAAAATATGTATTTAAATTTGCTTTGACATTCTAACTCTTATAGAAAACGCATGGAGTATCTTTTTCAAAATAATGAAATTCAAAGTTTATCTACAAAATATTTAATTATCTTAAATAATCAGGATTCTCTGCACAAAAAGCTTATAGAAATGCATAACATTTTCCAAGATTTCTTTAATTTATATATTGTTGATGTTGTCATATTACTACCGGAAGCTGATTCTTTGTGTATCTATACCTATAAACCATATGACCTTAAACATTGTGCTTTTACCGAGCCTATACTACTGCAATGTTATTTAAAAGTTCCTGATATACTTTCTTATAATGATTTGTTTCCCATAAAAACTAATAACTTCTATCAGTGTCCCTTAAAAGTAGTTCTCTGGCATACACCACCATTTGTAAATATAACATATCGAAAAGGAATTGCATACTATACTGGATTTGATGTGGAAATATTAAAAGATTTGTCAGATTTTCTAAACTTTTCCATAGAAGTTATACCCAATGAACCTCCAGAATTATTAAGTGGCGAAGTTTTTAGTAATTACACGGCTATAGGGGTTTTTAAATTGGTAAGTTTATAAACCTAAAATTGTTTATCATAAAACCTTATTCTATATTCCCATTAGCTATTGGAACGTAGAGCAAATCTAAGTATTGGTTTTATTGGATGTAAACCCAGACGTTCGCAATTAACTACAGGATCAATGCCATATTTTCTAACAGAAATTTTAATAATTTTTAAAAACTATCAAAAGTATACAGAATATTATCTACTATTTAGGCCCTTCACCAACTCAACTTGGGGTGTTTTTATAATCGTATTAATTTTAAAACCAATATTTAAACGTATACTCTGTAGAAATTTTAAATTACAATTAAGTTTTCGTAATCTTTTGAGACTGCAATGGGTATTTATGATTTTCTTACTACGCCTTGCCTACGAAGGATCTATATTTGAAACCATACGTAAATCACCCTATAAACCTTTACCACTCAATCTAAATGAATTGGTACAACAAAATTATTCCCTAATAACGGACTATGCCACAGCACGTATGTTAAAGGAAATTACTATTCTTGAGAACATCACAACAATTGTGCCGGGAAATCCTTCAAGTATTTTAGAGCTTATAGATGACTTACCCCCCAATACTGGCGTCTTAAGCTGGGATACTATTGTGGCTCAATTTATGAAAACAAGGTTGCGTAATTATAATGACTATGCCATCGTTCGCGATAAAGTTTCCAATGGTATGTGTTGTATATTCTTCCCGCGCTTATCATTTATGGCACCATCAGTAGATTTGCTACTTAACCAGTATAAAATGTTTGGCATATTTAATAAATATATGAAACAGCTCGGTTTTGAATATTTACCTACGACTACAGATCAATTAAGGACACGTTTCAGTTGGAATTCCAAAGCTCCTTTGGATTTGTCAATTCTAGTGGCAGTTTTTAGATGTTTTGCAGTAATGAATATCGCCGCCATGTTGGTATTTGTATTGGAAATTTTAAGTTCTCATTGTAAGGTTTTAAAGTATATTTTTACAAAAATATTTAAATTCTAGAATAATATAACTTCTTAATTGAATAAATCGTCGTATAAAAACTAATTAATATTTATATTGGAAATCTGAGCTAAAGTAAGTAAGTACGGATATCTACTTTACGTCGCCAACTTAGTATTTCAGAACAAAATAATATAATTACCAAAAATGTTCTAAAGAAGTGTTTTAATTTATAAATGTAAAGTTCAAAAAAAACTTAATAATGATCTGAAATAATCGATCATTCCATTTTACATTCAGATAATCATTTGGTCCCCAAAAAATAATTTCAAAAATTATAGTTTCACACTTGAGGTATCATAGACTCGTTTTAAGCCAGCACTGTTTACAGTTTATTTACAAGGGGAACACTAAAGTGACGATTATCTTTATCCTAGTTTACAAGGAGTACATCCTTGGCGAAAAACGAATTAGAGCCAACCAGGTGGTTAGACGTTAGTGGAAATCACTATCTTTTTCGGATGCATTGACTCTTTGTCGAACTGCTGGGTATTACCCATCCCAGCAGTTCCTTCGGACAGTCCCGAACTACCTATTTAACCTGCCACTTTGGGTTGCCCCTAGCCACCGACTGTCCATGTGACTAGCTATTTTAACATGTGCTTGTCCTATTAGGAAAGGATAACGAAGAGTCAGACGAAAATCTTAAGTTTGTTTTTTAAGTGTCCCTTCTCTCGCTTACAAAGGGGACAGACACTAAAGTGAAGATTATCTTCACCCTCGTTTACAAAGAGTACATCCGTGACAAAAGACGAATTAGAGCCAACCAGGTGGTTAGACGTAAGTGGAAATCACTGTCTTTTTCGGATGCATTGACTCTGTGTCGAACTGCTGGTATGGTATTGAAAGTGGACAATTTCGGTGCACTATCGCAAAATTGATTACAGTTATAAAGTTTTTGATTATCAACAATAGTAGATACAAATTAGTTTTGTAGACCTAGAATTTTGAGCCCTATATTTCCAAATAAACTACATAAAATCTTAGTTCCTAACTGTCTTAAGTTCCTAAGTGTAATAACTTTATTAACCCCAATTATCTTCCTATTTAATAAAGACATTTTTACTTACCTTTCTTCTCCACGTAAACGAAGCTTGTTGTTGTTTTTGTTTATGTTTACACTTTTATTGCAAAGCAAACAAGAAGGTGCCCAAGAAGTTTTAGTTTATTTTAAAAATTTGCACTACATTGTTAAATATTTTACAACTCTTTAAGTATATTACAATATCGTAACACTTTGATACACTATTTTTAACAAATATTTTTAATTAATTAATATATTTTTCAAAAATATGCAAGAAAAATTGACAAGAAATTTATTTTTTCAACGGCACATGTTTAAGAAAAGGAGGCAACTAAAAGAAGATACGTTTTGTTGTTGTTGCTTATGCTTATACTTTAATTGCAAGAAAAAAAACGAAAAGGTACCCCAGAACTTATACTTAGTTTATTTTAACAATTTGCAACCAAGTTTTGAAATATTTTTTAACTCTTTAACTTTATTATAATATCGTAACACTTTAAAACACATTTTTAACAAATATTTTCAACTAATTAAAGAATTTTCATAAAAATACAAGAAAAGTTGCCACGAAATTAATTTTTTCAACTGCACGTGTTTAAGAATAGAATATAACTAAAAGAAGAAGGAACAAACAAAACATAAACAATGCATTGATGAGCGAGAGAGAGTGACAGTGCAAATATGACGTCATGATATAAAGAGTAACAAAAAAGGTAAACAAAGAGTTTACAGTACAACAACAACAACGAAATAACATTAACTAGCAGCAGCATGTAAAATTTTTAAAAGCGAACCATTTTTATGTTTTCCAACCGATTTCATAGGTACCTATTTTTGGAATTTATGGGATTAATTTTCAAAAACTTATTGGCCACGTCCAAGACAAATTTTTACCCTTTCAGAACAGTCATATTATTTCTAAACAAATTTTGATTCTGCCCCAAAAGCTAGAAATTTAATTTTCACAAACAAAATTTTTATTTTATAAACAGTTTATAAATTAGATTTTGTATGGAAATTTTGTTTTATAAACCATTTATAAAATAAAAATGTTGTTTGTGAATAAGGGGGAAAATGTAGACACAAAATTTCAATAAATTTTATAAAAATTAATAATATTTAATTTCGACTATAGACTAGACTGGCGAAAGTAGTCCAGCCTATTGGATAGACCATATACTAGAGTATAAACCAGACTATAAACTAGAATATAGACTAGGCTATAGACTAGACTATAGACTAGACTATAGACTAGACTATAGACTATAGACTAGACTATAGACTAGACTATAGACTAGACTATAGACTAGACTATAGACTAGACTATAGACTAGACTATAGACTAGACTATAGACTAGACTATAGACTAAACTATAGACTAGACTATAGACTAGACTATAGACTAGACTATAGACTAGACTATAGACTAGACTATAGACTAGACTATAGACTAGACTATAGACTAGACTATAGACTAGACTATAGACTAGACTATAGACTAGACTATAGACTAGACTATAGACTAGACTATAGACTAGACTAGACTAGCTAGACTAGACTATAGACTAGACTATAGACTAGACTATAGACTAGACTATAGACTAGACTATAGACTAGACTATAGACTAGACTATAGACTAGACTATAGACTAGACTATAGACTAGACTATAGACTAGACTATAGACTAGACTATAGACTAGACTATAGACTAGACTATAGACTAGACTATAGACTAGACTATAGACTAGACTATAGACTAGACTATAGACTAGACTATAGACTAGACTATAGACTAGACTATAGACTAGACTATAGACTAGACTATAGACTAGACTATAGACTAGACTATAGACTAGACTATAGACTAGTCTATAGACTAGACTATAGACTAGACTATAGACTAGACTATAGACTAGACTAGAGACTAGACTATAGACTAGACTATAGACTAGACTATAGACTAGACTATAGACTAGACTATTTACTAGACTATAAACTAGACTATAGATTAGAATATAGACTATAATATTTACTAGACGATAAACAAGACTATGGACTAGACTATAGACTAGACTATAGACTAGACTATAGACTAGACTATAGACTAGACCTATAGACTAGACTATAGACTAGACTATAGATTAGACTAGACTAGAGACTAGACAAGACTATAGACGATATTACAGACTGGACTATAGACTTGACTATAGGCTAGACTAGACTAATAGACTTGAACTATAGAATAGACTATAGACTAGACTATAGACTAGACTATAGGCTAGACTATAGACTAGACTATAGGCTAGACTATAGACTAGACTATAGACTAGACTATAGACTAGACTATAGACTAGACTATAGACTAGACTAGACTAGACTATAGACTAGACTATAGACTAGACTGTAGACTAGACTAGAACTAGACTATAGACTAGACTATAGACTAGACTATAGACTAGACTATAGACTAGACTATAGACTAGACTATAGACTAGACTATAGACTAGACTATAGACTAGACTATAGACTAGACTAGTAGACTAGACTATATGACTAGACTATAGACTAGACTATAGACTAGACTATAGACTAGACTATAGACTAGACTATAGACTAGACTATAGACTAGACTATAGACTAGACTATAGACTAGACTATAGACTAGACTATAGACTAGACTATAGACTATACTATAGACTAGAATGTAGACTAGACTATAGACTAGACTATAGACTAGACTATAGATTAGAATATAGACTATAATATTTACTAGACGATAACAAGACTATGGACTAGACTATAGACTAGACTATGGACTAGACTATAGACTAGACTAGAGACTAGACCATAGACTAGACTATAGACTAGACTATAGACTAGACCATAGACGAGACTATATACTAGACTATAGACTAGACTATAGACTAGACTATAGATTAGACTAGACACTAGACTAGAGACTAGACAAGACTATAGACTAGACTATAGACTGGACTATAGACTAGACTATAGGCTAGACTATAGGCTAGACTAGACTATAGGCTTGACTATAGAATAAACTATAGGCTAGACTATAGAATAGACTATAGGCTAGACTATAGAATAGACCATAGACTAGGCTATAGGCAAGACTATAGACTAGGCTATATACAAGACTAGGCTATAGACTAGACTATAGAATAGACTATAGACTATGCTATATACTGAACTAAAGACTACAACATAGACTAGACCATATACTATAACATAGACTAGTCTATTGACTTGACCGTAGACCAGACTATAGACTAAACTACAGATTAACGCTTGTATTTATAAAAAAATCTTATTTTGCTTTTAATGCACTCAATAGTTAAAGCACACTTTAGCCTTAAAACCCATTAATAAAATTGTGATATTCATAAACAAATAATAAACGTATATTAACTATTGTGCTGATTTATGTTTAAGTTGGCAGCACTGTACAATATGGCTGTCATTTTATGTGTTAGTGTTGCGTACAATTAGGATAAAATATTCGTTGATTCGGTTTTCTTAATTTCATATTTTTGTTTATAATAGATTTTTGACAATAAAAACAAACTTTTAAGAAAAATAAATATATATATGGCTTTAATAAATGTCTATTTAGTTCAGATGTATAAATATAACATATAATTTCTAATTATTATTAAAAGTATCCGAATAACGGATATTTTGCGACAAAATATACATCACTATGACACATTTTCTTATTTTTACTTATTTTCCTTGTAATTTTTGATAAATTTTTGCAAATATAGATAAATTTCTTTGATATTTGACTAATTTTAATGCCGGCGAATATATTTTGCATTAGTATAACACTAATCAATATAATTTACATGGTTAATTACTTTATGGCATTATATTTAACCAACAAACTTTGAAAAAGCCAAATCAAATGATTTTGTCCATCATTTGGTTGACAGACGAGCATTTCCAAATTGCCTAAAAATAGTGCTGGACAATTGGAATATTGTCAAATATTCATGCATTAATCCAATAATGCCTAGATTTGAGTTTTTTCCTCAAAATATAATCGTTTAAAAATTTTTTGGGATTTTATTTACAAATTTGTAAACGTTAAAATTAGAATTTTTAGATTTTATTTTAAAAGAAACCATAATTAGTTTTCGCAATCAACCTAAAATTACCGGAAAAATCTTTATCTGAGAAAAAAAATTGTTAAAAATCAACTTATTGTTGGCTTAAAGAAGGGTCGAGCCTACAATAAAATTCCTCTAATTGTCAATGGTTTATTGAAGGTGTTTTAAGCTATTTCACGTTATAAATACGATTTTCCTGAATTTTGCCTAAAATTGTTTAATAAACCTAAAATAAGTTTTTATAAATACAGCCGTAAGAAAATAAAATATGTAACTTAAATTTTTATTTTAATTATTATATTTTTATTAAATTAAACTATTTTTACATTAAATATTTAAAAAATCTATAATAATTTTACACCAATCCGACTTTAAACTCAACAATTCCATTAGGAATATTCCAAATGAAAATAACAGTAATACACCATAAATACAAAATAAAGCAAATAATAATTGAAATGATAATTTAATAGGTTCCTTTACCTTGGGTTGCGGTTGTCGCGAATAAAATAAATAATAGGATTCAAAGCGACCCATTATACCAGCTGATAATATACGTAAAATTAATTCATCTGTGCGAAATCTTATATAGGTATGACGTGGCATATAAAAGACTATAGGTGTCGTTAGTACGGATTGTTCCAAAATTTCCACTCTTTCATTTGGATTCATTTGATTGTATGATCTGATCGAATAATCCAGTAAACATAAAGCTAACCTCTCACTACTCGAAGAGGAAATGCGTTTATACAATTTACTTGTAGGATTATTTGCATCAACTATAGCGGTATTTGCATCGGGTATAGACGCTCTCAGGACCTTTTCCACAGCTGGAAAGGCATATATGGTAAAATTATTGTCGACAATTTCATGAATGCTCTTAAATGTGTTTCGAGCTCGGCCATCTTGCAAAAGTATATATAATGCTCCCGAATAGGCTGATCTTAGTACAAATGTATACAATAAAAAGACCATTAGTATATAACGGGCAAAATTTTTATGCGGCAGAGCACCATGTATAGAAATTCCAAATAATACGGCGAGTAAATTTGTAAATGGTATACGATTTCCTTTGCCATATATGAAATCCATTAATTTCGATCGACCCAAATAACGTATGAAGTATATGAATAAAATACCAAACATTATACTAGAACTAAAACAAGACCAAATAATATAACGAAATGGTTTCATGAGGCGTTCGAAGGACGTCATTTTCCGGCCCTGGGGAATGGCCAAGACATAAGGTACAAATAAATAACTTTTGCTAGCTTGCATTGCATCGGAACGAATCTTGTTGTACATCAGAGATATTATTGTAATATTTGCTTGGGCCTCAATTATCTGAATTAAGAGAGAAAAGCTTAAAACAAGAATTGCTTTTTATTCCTAACATTAGTCATACATTAGAGCGGGAGAATTTTTAATTACTTTCTTTCAGCTTTTCCCATAGGCAAATTATTCAGTACTCACCATTTTCGTAGCACCCGTCGCAGTACCATTCGCATAAACATCACCTCTATCCGGTGGGTCTGGAACATTAAGATGTATTTTAAAATTCATCAATTCACCCAATAAGCTAAGTAGCGAACCCTCTATACCATGTAATCGTAAGAATTCACCACTTATTGGATCTCTATCCACATAAATATATGGCGGATATTGCCAGGTAGCCACCGATAATTCACAACCAAACATATTATCCACCTTGCTGGGGAAAATTGCCTTCTTAACCTCAAAACCAGAGAAATTCTTTTCTATATCACGAAATGATATATAAAATTCAGGCATTGATGAATGACATTTATTTTTTGCAAAAGGAAAATACGTATAAAGATAAGGATACTTTCCCACCACCATCAAAATATTCACATTGGTGCAATACAAGTTAAAAAGACGACGAAATATTTCCTTGACATGACTCAAACGTTCGTGTTCGGTACCGGTATAGATTAATAGGAAAAAGCCATTACGATGATATTGACCCATAGGATCCACTAGAACGCGTTCAAAGTTTCTGTTAAAAAATAAACTTTTTAGTAATGTACGAAAAACTTTTTTATTTTTAAAAATTTACATGTAAGAAGTGAAACTGTCCAAAAACCAAATACTTTTTTCACGATGTACATTGGCTTTCGGAAATGGTTTTTTGAAGACATGGTCATTTACATTGTCCTCCTTGGCCTTTTCCTGCAATTCTCCTTCCGTGTAAAGCTTAATACCTGGCGATACCATGGCTCGTTTTATTATGTCATTAATTAAATCATTGTGATATAATCTATTCCTTTGATTAATGGCATATTGTCCAATGGTCACTGCTGATATTGTGTATTTGGCAAAATCATTATTAATTATCCAGAGTGTGGCCAATATTAAAGATAAATTAGATGTAGGCTCCACGGAATCCAATACAATTTCCGTTAATTTCGTCATCACGGTAGGTTTTTTTAGTATTTTTTTTAACAAATATTTATCTTCTAGATTTGTATTTGCATTGAATTACCATCTGCCGCCTACATTTATGGTCGACCTTTTTTGTTTGGAATCTATTATTAAACTGTGTTGTTTGCATGAGTAATGTAATTGAAATGTTTTATTGTAACCATTTAGCGGCAAATAATGTAATCATTTTATTAAAAACTAACATGCTAGATTAGAAAGTTATATTTAAGTTATCGTTCGGTATGTAGCTTCACTCATCAACTTTTAACAGACATAGAAATAGAAGAATCAGCCTTCCATCATCAATTCTATATTTTTTAGTTAACTAAATTTTGCTGAAGGGTAAAAACAGTTCAGCTAAGACTAATTTATTACAAATTATTTTGCGTCATATTTATCTCGTTTACACGAAACGTATATTGCAAAATAATTTTATAATTAAATAAATCGAAACATGCATTTAACAAGGTTGTATTCTTTGACTGTACATCAGTGTAAAAATTAGGGTAATATAAATATAAATCTATATCTATCTATCTATCTATCTATCTATCTATCTATCTATCTATCTATCTATCTATCTATCTATCTATCTATCTATCTATCTATCTATCTATCTATCTATCTATCTATCTATCTATCTATCTATCTATCTATCTATCTATCTATCTATCTATCTATCTATCTATCTATCCATCTATCTATCTATCTATCTATCTATCTATCTATCTAATCTATCTATCTATCTATCTATCTATCTATCTATCTATCATCTATCTATCTATCTAGCTATCTATCTATCTATCTATCTATCTATCTATCTACTATCTATCTATCTATCTATCTATCTATCTATCTATCTATCTATCTATCTATCTATCTATCTATCTATCTATCTATCTATCTATCTATCTATCTATCTATCTATCTATCTATCTATCTATCTATCTATCTATCTATCTATCTATCTATCTATCTATCTATCTATCTATCTATTCTATCTATCTATCTATCTATCTATCTATCTATCTATCTATCTATCTATCTATCTATCTATCTATCTATCTATCTATCTATCTATCTATCTATCTATCTATCTATCTATCTATCTATCTATCTATCTATCTATCTATCTATCTATCTATCTATCTATCTATCTATCTATCTATCTATCTATCTATCTACTATCTATCTATCTATCTATCTATCTATCTATCTATCTTATCTATCTATCTATCTATCTATCTATCTATCTATCTATCTATCTATCTATCTATCTATCTATCTATCTATCTATCTATCTATCTATCTATCTATCTATCTATCTATCTATCTATCTATCTATCTATCTATCTATCTATCTATCTATCTATCTATCTATCTATCTATCTATCTATCTATCTATCTATCTATCTATCTATCTATCTATCTATCTATCTATCTATCTATCTATCTATCTATCTATCTATCTATCTATCTATCTTCTATCTATCTATCTATCTATCTATCTTCTATCTATCTATCTATCTATCTATCTATCTATCTATCTATCTATCTATCTATCTATCTAGCTATCTATCTATCTATCTATCTATCTATCTTCTATCTATCTATCTATCTAGTCTATCTATCTATCTATCTATCGCTCTCTATCATCTATCTATCTATCTATCTATCTATCTATCTATCTATCATCTATCTATCTATCTACTATCTATCTATCTATCTATCTATCTATCTATCTATCTATCTATCTATCTATCTATCTATCTATCTATCTATCTATCTATCTATCTATCTATCTATCTATCTATCTATCTATCTATCTATCTATCTATCTATCTATCTATCTATCTATCTATCTTCTATCTATTATCTATATCTATCTATCTATCTATCTATCTATCTATCTATCTATCTTATCTATCTATCTATCTATCTATCTATCTACATCTATCTATCTATCTATCTATCTATCTATCTATCTATCTATCTATCTATCTATCTATCTATCTATCTATCTATCTATCTATCTTATCTATCTATCTATCTATCTATCTATGTTCACTAATGTTCACGATAATTTTGTGAACAGGATCTTATTTATTAATTCTATAAACATCCTAAAGGGTTTTTATTTATATTGTTTCTAGGATAGCGAAGCACCTTGGGTATAGCTAGTTTTGTAACAAAATATTAAAACTAAAATTTATAAAAAATAAACAGAAGGCTCTACGATCAGAGGGACGCATATCTGTGATCACTTAAAAAAAGTAATTTTTCGAGTGAAACATAATGCACTGTCTCGAAAAAACCAGAGGATCTAGGGTCAAAACGACGAAAATCTCCGATCATTTTATTTCTCACCAAAAAATTGAGCGTTTTCTGGCGAAACTGGAGACCTTACGGCCCAAAACAACACAAATCTGTGATCACTTTTAATTCCCACCAAAAATCGATTTTTTTAATGAAAACATAAAAAACACATATTCTGTCGAAACTAAAGGCTCAAAGACCTTAACCTTTGAGCCTTTAAGGTCCTTACCCTAATGTGTATATTTTAAATAAAACAAAGTTTCGCTGACTTACTTAAACATTATATATTAGATATAGTTTTAACTTTTAAAATATACTTGATTATATCTTATTTGGAAAAGGCTTTGACTAATAAAAGTTCCTATTTCTTTTGACATATTTACGCCATTTTCTACGTAAGCGCCTGCGCAACTTTTTACCAAAAAAGACACAAATTTCCAATAGAAACACTAATAAACTTACAGTCAAACCCATAATCAACAGACGATAAGCTGCAAATAAATGAAAATTTTTCATCGGCTTTGGACTGTCATCAGCGGTTTTAGGTTTAACACCATGATAGACCAGTTGACGTTGCCAACGATTCATTAAACCTTCATTTATATAACTGTCAATATAAGTATTGAAACGTTTCAAATAGGCCGAATTCTTTTTCATATAAATTGTTAACTGCTGAGTGAACAACTTCTCAGGCACCACATAAAAATCATTGTTAATGGGAGTTATAAGTTTATAATAACCATAATATTCTTGAGCCATTAAAAGAGCCAATTTATAAGGAGCATAATCCGGAGGATTTTTTAACATTTCAAATGACTCCAATTCGGTGGTATTTAAAATTTCCGCTTTTGATGCAAGCAAAGGCAAATTCGCGATAGAGCTGTAAACCACATCACTCATAAATATACGATATTTGTTGTAGTATAATTCAGCTATTAATTTTGGTAGAGGTTTCTGCAGATCAGATTTAATAAAATAAAACATAAAGGCTTGATAAACGGTGCGCAATATAAAGGTGGCCAATAACCATAACATTAAAAGAAATCGTGAAAACGGTACTTTAGGATCTTTAGCCACGGCTCCACCCAAACTTATGACAACCATATTATAAGCGGGATTATCATTTTCCCGGCCCAATACTAAAGATTTTAATTTTCGATTCAGATAGATGAGTATGAAGACGAGTATATTACCAAATCCATAAATACAAATTAAAACAATCCAAATTTCCTTTTCAAATGGTAGTAAAAGTTTTGTAAAAGGATCATAGCTATCCGTTTTCGAGGAGATTATAAAAAAATAGTTGCTCATGTAGTAGGCCACTGTGGGGGCATAGGGATCTTCTAAGGAGGTGGGTTTATAGTGAAAGGCTCCAATAACAAAATCAGTATTGGAGGTGAAGAGCTGAAATAAGGAAGATAAACAAGAGTAAAATACTTTTTAAAGGAAACTTTAAATTACCTTATTAAACACTCCTAGCTCATCATAGACAGTCTGATTAATTTCCTCATCATTCATCCAACGTATTGTAATGGTAAAATTCATTTTCCTGGACAAATATTCCAATAATTGTCCCTCCAAACCCTGATACCTGTTACGACCATCAACAGAATTACGTGTTAATTTAAAATACGGCATATCTTCCCAGGTGGCACAAACCAAAGGACAACCGTGTAAATTTTTGGTTTTGGCGTAACAAAATTCTTATGCAACCAATGGCCATCAATAAATTTATTATGGACAATGGGAGTAATACCCTTGCAGTGAAAGGACGTAAAGGGTAAGCTATGAAATAACAAAATGACATTTTGCACAGCATGTATAAGTATGTCGGCATGTGTGATACCATTAAGCCAATTTATTTCAAAAATTTCGTAAAGTTCATCGTAATAATGATTGACCTGGGGAACGGTTTGTAGAACAATAAAATAATAACCCTCCACAAAGAGATGATATTTATTAAGGTCTTTATAAAGAAATCTGTAAGAAAAAACAATTTGTTAACAAAATAATAACAATAATTTCAATTTTTCTCACTCCAATGATTCTGATGAATCCACCAATAGTATACAAAAATGCCTCTCATTATCTGTTGGTATACCAATGTTATTTTTTAAACGTATCGCAACATTACCACTCAATAATTCCATGGTTTCATCTATTATATTTTGAAATTCATGCAAGTATTTTTGATTTTTATTTTCAACTTTTATTTGAAAATTGAAAACCCTTAATTGCCTTATATCCACATAAAGTGTATTGATTATCTCTGCGAGAGCCTCGGAAAGATTCCGTGCGATTTCAAATTTATCATCTCTATACCAGTTATGACTAGGGACTATATTTTTCGGTAAAAGTATTAAAATTGTATAAAATATTAATGTATTTTGCGACATTACTTTGAAGCAGCTTTACACTTTGGTGGTTGTTGATAAACTGGAAAAAAACGTAACATAACACTAGGCGTTTATTAGCTAAGTTGTGTAAAGTTTTGATTTACATTATATTTATTTTTTGTAAATACCAACTATGAAAGTTGAGTGGTATATTATATTTAATCATTCGGTATGTAACACATAAAGATCTAAGGCGATCTACTGTATGTATGACTTTCTGTGCAAGGTACTATAAGTAGGAGAACAAAAAACACGATAAAAAATTTTCTGTTAACAAAAAATTCCGATATTGATAGTGGTTAATATCGGCCATAAAAACTTGATCATCTGATCGAAATCAATAGCAAGCGATAGAACTTAAATTTAATTAAAGCTGAGCAATATGAAATAGAAGTTCAAAGGTCATGAAAGATCAAAAAATAACAAAAAACTACTTTTTCATCTTACTCTTAAATAAAAACTCCAAGGAACTCTCTGTCAAGCCCGTCTGTTAAGCAGCAAATGAGCATTTTTATTCGGCTTTAGACTTTTATCAGTAATTTCACGATTGTCACCGTCAACTCTTTTCATTAAACCTCCCAACTGTTCATTAAACCTTCATTTGTATAACTTTCAAATATATAAATTTCTCAGGTACCACACTATTCTAATCGTTTGTCCTGATCATTTACGCTGAACTTTAAACATCCCTCAAGCAGCCAATCAAAACACAGATCGCAATTTAAAAATCAAAAATTGTGAAATAATAATCTGATTCAAAATTCTAAGCATATTTTAAAACAATTTTATAATGGTATGGTATCGGATCACATCAAAAACTAACAATACTTCTTCAAACTAAGTAGCTCAGTCCACTATATTAATACAACTAAATAATAGGGAACCCAAATATAAAACTTTATTCAACTGGATAGGCTAGATTAAAGTACATTGCTTCATATCCTGAAAAATACACTTAGGTCACTATTGGACCTGTTGCGATCTTTTTAGGAATAGTGAAAATACCTTATAAATAGATCTATAAAAATAATTATAGACCAACGTTAGGAAACTCAGTTTTCTGGACGTAGTTTCTTAGAATTTTCCGATCAGTGTTACTGATAAATGTAATATCTGTCCAGATATTTGGATCTACGTTCCTCAGATAAAGTGTTCCAGCGTTTTACTGCCCTCTCCGCTTGCTCTACATTTGTCTGAATCCTATTGTCCGATTTTATATACAAACATGGTTGTGCCAGTAGATCTGTGTGTCCACTAAATGAAACATACAATACAAACCTCGGACTTAATCTGAGTAGGTTTCTTGTCCAGCTCTTATAAACTATAACTATATTTTTATTTATCCTCATGATATTATACTGAATCCGAATATGACATCAGAATTTCACAGTCACATCAAGTACAATGAAAGTCCAATTTTTTGACATTATACTATAGTATTATCCTTTGTTATACATTCTTCGAGAAATTTAGTACATCTCCAGACCCTGATGTACTCGAGAAATTCAAAAGCCATATAAGATTTCAGAGAAGCTCAACCCTTTACAAAATATATCTTTATCGCTGGAGTTCGACCTTTTTTCAACTTTTGTAGGACAACTTTGGGTTCCAGAAATTTTTTTATTCAGTTACAAATTTTGACATTAAACAAATTTTTCTTTAGAAAAATGTTAAATATTTCAACAAACAACTATTCGAATAACTTTCTTTTCGAAAAAAGTTTTATTCAAAAAAATATCAAATCATATGAACACCCTATTTAAATCCCTTACGAGAACGTTATTCAATTATACCGGTCACATACCCTTTAAAACAAACCATATTTTTAGTCACGTGAATTAATGTAGACGTCACGTAAAACCATGTACATATATGTATATACATATGTATAGTGTGTAAACATGTACATACATATAAGGGGCTAACATTTAAACACCCAAATGTTTTTGAACAAAATTTCAGGCACCACAGCGCACGGCCAGACTAAACGCATATTCCACAAGTGCTATTTAGCAAGTAATACTGCTATATACAACCATAAAATCACAATAAATTAATGAATTTATAAAACTCAACGTAACGGACAATTGTTGCTCCAGTTACAACTATAGTGGATATTAATAGATTTGTTTGGCTACATACATAGGCTAAGGTGACCATGTCACACAACCTGCGGAACTATTTATTTTGTTGTCATTAATTACTAATTACACAACAACGACTGAACAGTGTATAAAAATAATATTAATGTGTAGTTAGTTGATTTGTTTACTTAATGTGTAAACAAATTAAATAAAAAACATAAAATACAAATGTATATAAAGTGATTTTTTCTCTTATACACGCACACATACATTTGGATGTGTTTGTATAGTAGCTATGCCTAAAAATATGCCGTGCTGTGTGTGAAATTTGTGCTGTTGAATGTAGGCTATAGTATTTAAATTTTATTATTATGATTGTTTTAAATTAAAATTAAAAAGCAAATAGTATATTTACGGAAAATTTTCATGTAGTTTGTGTAGAAATTTTAGTTTAATTAAAATTGTTAAATTTAATTTAATAATAAATAAATAAAGTTTAAAAATAAACTTATAGACTGAGTTTTAAAATCCTGTGGAAATGAAAAGAAATAAATATGTAACGTAATACTTATGTTGAAAAAAATAGATCTAAGTTTAAATTTCCAATATAGAACTGTAGTAAATTACATATGGGGTATTTCATGTCAATAGACCCAACTTTTTAAAACGATAAATTTGCACCATTGTTAGTCAATTGGACACAATTTTTCAACAATATCGGTCAAAAGAAAATTGCAGTAAGTCAAAGTTTGACATTTGTGCTGATATTTGTAATACACAAAAATATTGGTCATACATCCACCAATCGGCTTAGAATAATTTTCAGAGTCGATTAAGCCCTGTCCGTCGACCGTCAATGTAAACCTTGTAATCAAAAATTGATTACAATTATTGAAATTGAGCTGCACTGAATCCGAATCTGGGCTCATAACTCGAAGTATCGTGTCCTGAAGTTCACATTTTTTATACACTACACCACTATGGTGGGGAGGGTATATTGGATTTGCGCTGATGTTTGTAACATACAAAAATATTCGTCCTAGACCCACCTTAAAGTATATTAAAGTCGATTAAGTCTTGATGACCCTGCCAAATTTCATAAAGATCGGGCCACATTTGACCCTAGCTCCCATACAAAGTCCCCTTCAGAAAATTACTTGAATGTCCCAAATTAACTTATAAACACAAGTATCGCGATGAAATTCAGCACAATAAAATATTATGTAAATATAAATATATTCACAAAATTTTATCGGGCTTGGTCCATATTTGCCTCTAGCCCCCATATAAAGCCTCTTTCAGAAAATTAGTTTTTCATCCATAAATTGCTTAAATGTATCGGAACAAGGGAATATTGAAGATAAATGCTTTATTATGAAAAATAAATCACATTTAATATTCATAACTGGTGTAGGGTATCATATGGTCGGCCACGCCCGACTATACTTTCTTACTTGTTTCTTATAAAAATACTTTTGGAATTGTTTAAAAATGTTATGTAATTGCTGAGATATCATCCGTTGGAGTTGAATGACGGACAGACATAGTTAAATCGAATCAGAAAGTGATTTTGAATCGATTAGAACATCAGCAGGTAGGCATAGATCCAATATTTTTATTCGCTATAAATAATATGTACAAAGCATAATACCCTCCGCACTATGGTAGTGTAGGGTATAAATACCACGAATATACCGAAAACCACGAGTTTTCAAGCTTAAGGTGAAGATATCTCGAAGAACAAAGAAGATATTTAAATTGTTAGATCTTTATTTTAATGGAAAAAATGGATTTTTTTTCAAACCTCAGGACACTATATCTCAAATTCCAGAAGTTTTGGAGAAAAGATACAAATTCAGCGCGGCTTAATACTTAAGAAAAGTATAACTTAGTCTCAGGGTTTCGACTTTTTCAAAATTTTGTAGGCCTGTGCTATCGTTAACGAATTTTAAGTAAGCATTTTGTTGTTAAAAAGTTACCGAATTGCGGTACAGATTTACTAATAATTATTCCAGAGAATGCTCGGAAAAGTTTTAATGGGTTGAAGTCTTAAACCCCAACTAATGATTACAAGTAAATCGTTTTGTAATTAATGAATTATTTTACACTATTCACTTATTCCAAACGTCTATTAGTAATCTTTAACCTTACTAAGTAATGCCTGAAACGCCGACCACAAACGGTAGTTAATTAACATTTAAACAGAAATCTAATAGAATGTTTTAATAAAACAAGACGGTACGCTGAATAGGACAATACTAATTTCAGAATTTTGAGTGCCAAACGCCTGATGTGTTATCATTTTTTAGGAATAGATAACAAATTTTAAGACATAGTCTCCTTGTATACACATATTTATACCCTACACCACTTTAGTGGGGAGGGTGTATTGGGTTTGTGCTGATGTTTGTAACGCACAATAATATTGATCCTATACCCACCTTAAAGTATAACAATCGGCTTATAATCATTTTCTGAGTCGACTAAACTATGTCCGTCCATGTAAGTCGAAATTTTGAGGATAATTCAATGAAATTTGGTACATGATCTTCTATTGTCCACGGGACGAAGCCGAATAGGGCTTTTAAGTTCATAATTATGTTTAATATACTCGTATCTCGACAAAAAGCTGCAATACCAAGTTATACACTAGTCTTGATAACCCTCATGAATTTTATAATTATAGGTCCTCATTTGACCCTATACAAAGCCCCCTTCAAAATATGACTTAAATGTCCACAATTCAATCAACAATAAATGGCTTAAGTAAATCTGAGGAAAGGTACAACTCCACTTAAATGATTTATTTTGAAAACTTAATCACATTTTATTTTTATAACTGGTGTAGGGTATTCTTACTTGTTTTTATAATATTTGATAGTACTTAGTACTTAATCCCACTACATTTCATCCTTTTCAATCTCTGTTGCACTCTCCTTCCCCTAGAGAATTCCAAAGAATGTAATAAAAAATTTTCTGTATAATAAATTACCAAACAAATAGGTGTAATAAATATTTTATTACAAAAATTAAATACTTTTCTTATCATCATTGAAAAATCTACAATTCACAGAAATGTTTCATTCAATAAAGATTTCATTAAAATTTATTATATTTCTATTAGCCCACCAAAAAAGTCTCAGTTTAAATTTCAATTTAAATTCTATAAATGTCAGCGAAATGTCCTCGTATTTACAACATTTTAATAGAGAATTTTTTTCGAAGAAACTAGTGAATTGACGGTGGTACAAAGTGTTCGTCATAAAAGAGCCAAATATTATTTTAATGAATTATCAAGTGAATATTCTAAGAATTTAACGGATATGAAAATAAAATTGGAAGATGTTCATCACAATTATCATCATGATTTTGCTTATTTTAATATAATGTTTATTGATTCATATGAAAGTTTTCGGTAAGTGATAAACTGAAATTAAAATAATAAAACTTATTTATTTTTCATTTTCAGCATAATCGATCCGGGGCCAAAAACTGCCACCGAAGATTTCAGTGAATATTATTTGATTATATTATATTCCCTAAACAAACATCCTGAAAAAGAAATACAACAAATATTTGATTATTGTTGGTCCTATTATACGGTTAATGTGGCCCTATTGCTACAAACTCAGGAAGAGAAACCTATATTATTATACACCTATTATCCCTTTACACCAAAGTTCTGCCATAGTGTTCAATTGTATATAATCAATCATAATAAATCCATAACCAATTTGAAAGGTTCTGAGTTATTTCCCGATAAATTTCATAATTTTCACAACTGCACCTTAATGGCAGCATTGTGGAATGTACCGCCATATTTGACACTGCCAAAAAGGGGAAGAAGTCCAACAGAAATGGAAGGCATGGAAGGCTTTTTATTGAATGTTTTAGCTAATGTCTTAAATTTCAGAATAGCCTACGTAACACCGCCCAATAATGAACAGAGGGGTTTAGTGAAACCAGACGGCACGGTAACTGGAGCCATAAAAATGGTAATTGTACCCTTAAATATATAAAAATTTTCAAGTTTTATTCAAATTTTCTTTTTCTTTCCTCCAGCTAAATGATCGTGTAGCTGATTTAAGTTTGGGTTCTTTTCGCTGTACTCTGGAACGTTCTACAGCATTAAGTCCCTCGATGACATTTTACCAAACCATGCAAGTGTTTACGGTATTGGCTTTGCGTGAACCTTGGACGAGTTTTGAAATTATAGCCTATCCTTTTGATTTTCACATTTGGCTAGTGTTATTAGCCTTAATGCTATTTCTGCTAAGCTCTCCTCATATATTGGATCATTTACGCCACAAAACTTTAAAATTTATTTATGGCTTTTGTTCCCCAAATTTTATCAATATCAACATTATAGCTATAACCTTGGGTCAAACGGCCCACTTGTTGCCTCAACGCAATTTTGCTCGTTATATCTTATTTATGTGGATTTTATTAACCATGATTTTACGTTCCATTTACCAAGGTTCTTTATATGATTTTCTTAAATCACAAAAGACATTAGCTCCTCCAGATACTGCAGCCGAATTAACTGAACGTAAATATCAACTTATTTTGAATATGGCTACGGGGGATTCGTTTTCGGGCATACAAGTTATACGTGATAAACTAATAGAAGTTTTAATTATGAACATAAGTGATGCCGGTGGTTTTCCCTTATTGGAAGCAAATCCCCAAAAACGTTATGTTACCGGTACTCCCAAGGATTTTCTTACGTACTATGTCAATACTCACGATAAATATGGTGTTTTCCATGTTTTAAAGGAAACTATATTTTCCCAGCAGTTGTGTGTGTATTTTACGAAACATTCTTATTTAGTGGGGCCATTCGATCATGTTTTACAAAATTTACGTAATTTTGGTTTAATTGATTACTGGGCTGAACTGGTGTTGGATGATCGTTTTCTGGAAGAGGTGGATGAGGTGTCGACAGAAACTCCCCTTACTCTGGATCAGTTATCGGGTATCGTACAGATTTGTTTGTATTTGTATTTAATAACGTTTATTGTATTTGTTGGTGAAATCTTATGGTTTAAATTTAATAAAAGAAATCGAAGTTTTTAAATGAAAATGCGATTCACAATTTTTTCGTATTTCACTTTTGATGCCATTTAGTTAGTAAGTTAGTTAGTTAGTTAGTTAGTTAGTTAGTTAGTTAGTTAGTTAGTTAGTTAGTTAGCTAGTTAGTTAGTTAGTTAGTTAATTAGTTAGTTGTTAGTTAGTTAGTTAGTCAGTTTCAGTTAGTTAGTTTGTTAGTTAGTTAGTTAGTTAGTTCGTTTTAGTTAGTTAGTTCGTTAGTTAGTTCGTTAGTTCGTTTTAGTTAGTAGTTAGTTAGTTCGTTTTCTTAGTTAGTTCTTAGTTCGTTAGTTAGTTCGTTAGTTAGTTAGTTAGTTAGTTTAGTTAGTTAGTTCGTTCGTTTAGTTCGTGTTCGTTCGTTCTTGTTCGTTTTCGTTCGTTCGTTTTCGTTTTCGTTCTTAGTTCGTTCGTTCGTTCGTTCGTTCGTTCGTTCGTTCGTTCGTTCGTTCGTTCGTTTCGTTCGTTCGTTCGTTCGTTCGTTCGTTCGTTGTTCGTTCGTTCGTTCGTTCGTTCGTTTCGTTCGTTCGTTCGTTCGTTTCGTTCGTTCGTTCGTTCGTTCGTTCGTTCGTTCGTTCGTTCGTTCGTTCGTTCGTTCGTTCGTTCGTTCGTTCGTTCGTTTCGTTCGTTCGTTCGTTCGTTCGTTCGTTCGTTCGTTCGTTCGTTCTTCGTTCGTTCGTTCGTTCGTTCGTTCGTTCGTTCGTTCGTTCGTTCGTTCGTTCGTTCGTTCGTTCGTTCGTTCGTTCGTTCGTTCGTTCGTTCTTCGTTCGTTCGTTCGTTCGTTCGTTCGTTCGTTCGTTCGTTCGTTCGTTCGTTCTTCGTTAGTTCTTCGTTCGTTCGTTCGTTCGTTCGTTCGTTCGTTCGTTCGTTCGTTCGTTCGTTCGTTCGTTTCGTTCGTTCGTTCGTTCGTTCGTTCGTTCGTTCGTTCGTTCGTTCGTTCGTTCGTTCTTCGTTTCGTTCGTTTCGTTCGTTTCGTTCGTTCGTTCGTTCGTTCGTTCGTTTCGTTCGTTCGTTCGTTCGTTCGTTCGTTCGTTCGTTCGTTCGGTCGTTCGTTCGTTCGTTCGTTCGTTCGTTCGTTCGTTCGTTCGTTCGTTCGTTCGTTCGTTCGTTTCGTTCGTTCGTTCGTTCGTTCGTTCGTTCTTCGTTCGTTCGTCGTTCGTTCGTTCGTTTTCGTTCGTTCGTTCGTTCGTTCGTTCGTTCGTTCGTTCGTTCGTTCGTTCGTTCGTTTCGTTCGTTCGTTTCGTTCGTTCGTTCGTTCGTTCGTTCGTTCGTTCGTTCGTTAGTTCGTTCGTTCGTTCGTTCGTTCGTTCGTTTTTTGTCGTTCGTTGTTCGTTCGTTCGTCGTCGTTCGTTCGTTCGTTCGTTCGTTCGTTCGTTCGTTCGTTCTTCGTTTTTCCTCGCCCTTTTCTTCTCCGCCCTCCTCTTCTGCGCCTCTAATTTTTCGCGCGATAAAATTTCGATTAAAATATTACGAAGGCCACTAAATAGCACGCGCTACAAATCATATAAATACCCCATAAATCGTCCTGCTCAATTCTAGCATCTTGAAACATATGCTTACTATTTAGATATTTCGAATTTATAAAATTCTTCGCCCAATAACCAATTAAACCCACAGCATGTATATCCATAATTTCCGCATCCAATTGATTTATCAGATACGAATGTTTCTCTAAATAGAAACACATTCGCTGTTGCATTATAATCTCGGGTATAATATAAAATAATCCAGGCTTTTTATATTTCTCCGTATAATGGATCAGAAATTCCTGTGAGACCACAGCATAAAAATTTTCCTCATAATTATTTTCCAAATAAGCAATAGGTATTAACTCATCCGAAGAATCGATCACAATGCTTGAATGATTTGGAGAGCGTTGATAAAATGGTATATATTTAATATCATTATAAGTGAACAGATTCATAACCGCACGATAACTGGCATTAACCGCCTCATCCAGATTGTGTGGCAGGGAAGCGTGAATTTCATTGCGAAATAAATGGAACAATAAACCAGAATAAATGGAGCGCAATAAAAAGGTACTCCACAACCAGGTTATAAATATTAAGACGGAAGTTGGTAATTGAGGTTCTCGATGAATCGGAGAACCCAAAGCACAGGCAATCATTGAAAATGTTGGTATCGACTGTGATTGATGTAAACGCAACAAACGTGTAAACAAAATGATTATAAACGTAGTCACGGCTAAAGCATACCAGCCACAATTAGGAAATGGATATGACAAAACTTCAAAGGTTTTTAATCTATGAGCTGGTAAGTAGACAACTGATACAATGTAATTCTGATAATGCGGCATTGTGGTGCTATATTTTACATTCATACTCGTACGTTTGCGATAGAAACCAAAGACTATATCAGCAGTATGATCATCGAGCTGGAAAAAGGAAATTTTAAATAAATAACTTTGTAACTTTATTTATGGTACATTATTCACCATTTTTAAAGCACCATTTCCAAAGGGAGCTAAACGATCATCGTGTATTTTTGTACGTAAACTCAATGAAAAATTCATTCTTTTCGCCAAATGTTTTATCACATCCATTTCGAATCCACTATAAGTCATAACACCATCTTTAGCTCCGCTTGGGTATGTATAGGGTGGTATATTACGTACTGCAGCCACTAAAGGACAGCCTTGAAAATTCTTCAATTTTGGCAGGAAATAACCCTGATTAAGCCACGAGTCATTAATAAATTGATTGATTTTTTCCGGTATGGTATTGCCACATTTATACTTATAGGAAAATGGAAATATGTATACATAAATACTTCCCCCAAGGCAGTTTGTAATTGGACATTACAATTTATAATATGATTAGTCCAGCAATAGTCAAAAATCCCCTTCATATCGTTTTGAAGATGACGATCACGTTGCATAAGGAAAATGTGATAGTATTCATTGGTATCATAATCACGGCTATAAGAAACCACATCGATATCTCTGGAACCAGAGAATGTAAATATAATAGTTTTTGTTTTATTATTTTAAATAAATGCAGACTTACAAAAATGCTTCCAAAGAATCCACCAATAATAAATTATGATATCTGAGACCCTCAATTCTTACAGGTTTTTTATAGTCCACAAATACCAATTGTACAATCATATTATCCACCATATTAAAGAGATGTTGCATAATATTAAGATAAAAATTTAAAGGACTCTGACGACGACACGATACAACAATAACAAATGATGGAGCGACTTTTAAGAAAAATTCCTCAACTATAATTCTTAAAGAATTCGCTACAAAAGTATTTAGTTCGTTGGATTGTGTTTGAGCACCTTTTACAATCACCGACTCAAAATTTAATAAACCCGTTAGATTCATTTTATTAGAACCGTTAGAGTGCAATGTACTTTTGAAAATGTCGATTAGTTTGGATATGAAGTTGTTATAATATTAGACTCCACACAATTATTTCCGGAAATTTAAGTAGTAAAACTTTTTAAAACTATCCATTTATAAATAGAGTAGAAGCTATTACATAACTAGTTTCGTAATTAATCAAACACGTGTAAACTTTTGTACAATTAAGCATTAAATCATATAGAGTTAATTGAAAAAGTTTTAAAAAACAATTGTTTCTTGTTAAAAACATATGTACAGTGGGGGAATTCCGGAAAATAGGGAAATAAATAAAGGGCACTTATCAATTTTTTGGTGAGCTGGGCCAAAGATTCTTTACAAGTGTCTCAGATGGGAATCGGACCACCTACGACCTGCCAGACTAGAACATTAACCTACAGGAGGAATATATAAGAAACAAAAAAAATTGAGGTCATATTCTTAAAAAGGAGTTTTTCCATTGTTTTTCTATCCCGAATCCCGGAATATCTAAAAATAAATTCAGATTATCATGCCTAGAATCGATATAGCCTAATGTTACACTCTAATTTGTTCCACTAAAGATCCTTGATGAAGCCTGAAGTGGGGAAATACTGCATATTATTTAACTATTAAAAAGTTTATAATAAAAACTTATTAAAAGCGTGACACGAGGTGTAACTCAAAGAATAAAACAAATAAATATCAATAACAAAATAAATTTCCTTTGACGCACTTTCGAAAAGTATAAAACTAATTAAAACAATCATTCATTATATAATATTAAAAACCACTTTTTAGGCTAATTACTTTATATAATTTTATTTTTATTTATTTATTTCCATTTACTTCTTTACAAACTTATAATATTGATATTTATGACGTAATAGCTCCCATATAAAAATCATAGTTGCCACTATATAACCGCAAATTAAAATCACAAATGCCATATACAATTGCTTAAGACCAAATAACCGATCTGTGGCGTCATGTTCATGATGCAAAAAATTTAAATTAATTTCAGCATGATACCAAGCTTCCAAAAGACCAAAAGTTTTTGTCCATATAAGAATATCATTAAATTGATCAATTAAGAATGAATGTTTACTCAAATAAATACAAACTTCAAAATTCATAACATTATCGGGTAATAACTGGAATACGGATATCTTACGAAAGCGATGAGCATAATATTGAGCCACTACGAGAGGAGCAATGGTAACGCTAGTTCGAGCTTGTTGTAATGGTAAATTTTCCAAAAATTCCAAAGTCAAAGTTTCCGAAGTGGTATTTAATAGTATAATATTTAGAGCATTAAGAGCTTCAATATCCTCTATGGCATTGATACCAATTTTATTGATAATTATTGAATAATTTTCCTCCACCAATTGTTCTAATGTTTGGGGTATATGACGCCTCACATGAGTTCTAATTAAACGAAATAATAAAGCTTCATAAACAGCTCTCAAGATGAGAGCATAAATCATCCATGACATATTCAATATACGAGTAAAATTTCTTTGAGGCATAATACTGCCAGATACGCCCAATAATAATTGTAAAAGTTGAAGTATACTATTTTGATCGTTTTTAAAAGTTGTTTTTGCAGAAATGTTTTAAGATTATTATAGCTCCTATAGCGGCCAAGAATATTAACAATATTGAGTACCATGTATAGGTGCTAAAGGGATATAGAATAATTTCCGTTGATGTTAAAAGATAGGCATCTCTTAGTGAAACGGTTGCTATAACACTTTGAAAGTAATTTATGGTTGAGGTCGCCACTTGACTTCGTTATAATTCTCACGAAAGATCCCATACTAAGGTCGACTTCTCGATTTTTTAACTGCAAAAAATAGAGGTTTTATTATGTACACTAGATCTTTATAAAATTGTAAGATTATTCGCCCTTCTGTCCGTATAGCAATGACCTTAAACACTAAAGGATCTAAATTTGTATATGTTCATTAAAAAGGCCAACAAAAAATGATAAAAGTCGAATCCCTGACACCAAGATATACTTTTCTAAAGGAATACGTTATTCTAAATCCTAAGAATAAAGAATTTCTCCATTACATCCGGTTTTCGAAATACCTGATTTAAAAAAAGTTTAGGCCATTTTAGAGACTTTATAACAAATTCGGAAAGCTCAATACAATGTCGACGTGATCGTAAAATAAATTAATTCAAATAATCACTATTTGTCAATTTATGAATATTGCAAAGTTTAAAATATCTTGAGGAAGGAAATGTATATAACAGAGGATAATTAATACTTTATTTTAAAATTCGAGAGATTGGACTACAAGATTATATAACAGATTGTAACGTCTCAAATATGACAAAAAACTGCATACTTTAAATTTTAAGGACACAATTTCTCGAAAACTTGATGAGATTCTGAGTCAAATTCGGATTCAGCGCAGCTTTATTTTTTTAAAAAAAAGAAGTATATTTGATCTCTGGCATATAAAAATGTTGAGCTATATTATTAGTCCCCCTTTTCCAATTCGATTAAAAACAAAACAATTAATTTGCGTGCACATTTTATTGAATATTTAAAGCATAGACACAGACAGAAATACATAAATATAATATATTTTAAAGTTAATATAATGTTCAAAACCATGTTCAATCATCACAACATTCCTTCCTTTTTGGATCAAAGCCATACCATCACATTTTCTCTTCTCACAAATGACACTACCTGTAACAATCTTATCATATCTCCCCAATCAACATCAATCAATTAAAACATTTTCTTTAAATAACGGCGTTTTTCCCACCTTCTATATATTAACTCCAATAGAAACACCCCCATAGCCACTATATGACCTATTAAGAGAAATATAAAAGCCATTTTTAACTGTTTTAAACCAAAATATGATTTGCCACTAAATGACGTTCGTTAAAGTAATTCGTATTTATTTCTTGACGATACCAAGCCAAGAGCAGACCAAATCCTCGCAACAGCATCAAATCTTCATTGAACTGATCAATTAGGAATGAATGTTTGGAGGTATACATACACATTTGCAAACTCATAATGGTGTGTGGTAAAACCTTAAATAAACCTCCCTTGTTAAAGCTTTCAATATAATATTGCAAGTGAGCATAGGGAATGGCAGCTACCGAATGTTTTGCCTTTTCATGCGGCAAACTTTCCAAATATTCCAAAGCCAGGGTATCTAAAGAGGTATTTAAAATCAGAAAATTTAAAGACTGCAGTAGTGGCACCTCATTGAGTGCTGCAGCACTGGCTAGATTAACAATCATTGAGTAGTTCTTTTGTAATAGTTCTTCCAAGGTCTGTGGCATATTTCTGGTTACATGAGTGCGTATAAAGTGAAACATTAGAGCTTGATACACCGTTCTTAATATTAAAGAAAATATCATCCAGGTGGTATTTAAAATTCTACTAGCATTATAGAATGGTGTATATAGGGCCGGCATACCCAGTAGCATTAAAAGTATATCCAAACTCACTTGATCTAAATGTTTGGGTTTTAGTTTACGAAAAATCCATTTTGCGAAATTTACTACAGACAATGCGAAAGCACATAGAAATACTAAAATACACCAGGTATTATTGCTGAAGGGAAATAATATGATTTCCAATGAAGTCAATATATAAGCTTCACTCATTGTTACCACCGACCAACCGGTTTGAAAGTAATTCATTGTGGAAGTTGCCACAATATCGCGTGCACTAGTTTGACGAAATGATCCCAAACTTAAGTCAGCTTGTCGATCTTGAAGCTGTAATAATAGAAGAACAGAAATATTGGCATAACTATGGTGTTTAATGTTTGGGTGTAAACTAAAGCTATAAGGCAGGGATGGAAAATTCAATGCTATTGTATTTATTTAAATACTTTTTGGGAGTCAGTAGATCATTTATCAGAGCAGTCAATAGATTTGACCAGGGAAGTCTATAGACTAGTCTAGTCAATAGACCCGCCAAAAATAGTTTAGTCAATAATATAATCTACAAAACCTAGTCTATTATCTATTCAACAGTCTAGTAAATAGAATTGTCCATAGACTAGTCTAGTCCACAGATTACAGACTAATACACCGATTGAAAAGTCAATGGACTAGTCTTCAGATTAGACCCTAGGCGAGTAAGAGGACTATTCCATAGACTAAAAATAGTAAATAGACAAGTCCATAGAGCAGTAAATGGACTCATATTATAATTCTATAATTCTAAAAAAATAGTACTATTTCAAAATTTTAACTTTTGTGCTACTAACTATTATTTACCAAATTGCACTATATACCTAATGAACACATTCTTTCTATTCTCTGCCTTACTAAACCCTTTTAAAAGAATTTAATCTTATGACAAACATTTAAGATTCTCCATAACTTGCTTAAACACTTTCTAATTTTAATTTTTTTCCATAATAATTCGAATAAAAATATTATTACTGCTAATACGTAACCCATTACGAGTAATTTAAATGGCATTTCTAAATCCCTTAAATTGATTATATGATCCAAGTGTGAGTGCTCAGTTCTAGCATAATGTACATCTACCTCTTGCTTATACCAAGCTTCCACCAAAGAATAACCCCTAAGCATACCCAATATATCATCTAACTGATCGATTAAAAATGAATGTTTGCTCAAAAATATGCCCAATTTTAAATGCATAATAGTATTAGGTAAGACCCTAAAGACGTTGACTTTATGACGAACATCCGTATAGTATTGCTGAAATATTAAAGGAAGAGCTGCTGCTGTATATCTGGCCTTACTTAGTGGTAACTCTTCCAAATACACTAAAGGTTTTGTGTCATCGGGCGTATGTAAGGTAATAAATTCGGTATTATTAAATATTGGAACCTTTTGTAGAGCATTGAATGTTCCCGGTTCCACAACTAATGAATAATTTTGTTCTACTAATTCATCTAAAGTTTGGGGGTACATTTCGTGTTATGTGCGTTCGTATTACATGAAAGAGTAGGGCTTGATATACGGTTCTCAATATAAGGGAA